AATCTTAATAAAAATTGGCCAAATTATTGGAAGAACGTATTCGTCTTTCAAGCGAGTAATTAACAACTTCAAAGAAACCGGAATTTTAACGTCCAAGCCACGATCTGATCGACCAAGAAGACTATCAGAACGAGAAGAGCGCAAAATAATCAATATGGTAAAAGTAAATCCGCGAATAACATCATCAAAAATTGTTGAAAATGTAAATTAAACATTATATCCAGAAACTCGGGATTTTTAAAATTAATCCTGGGATTTGTTAAAAAAAAAAATTATTTTCTTTTTTGAGCCATAATTTCAATTAGTTTTTAAATTACGATCTTATTTGTTTAAAAAATATATAAGTTTGTCATTCCGTGTGTAACACCAAGAAATATTCATCTGAGACCGAACAAAGTATATATATTCTGGGTCCTTATGAAATTCTGAGTCGATTTATCTATGTCCGTCCGTCTGTCAAGATAATTTCATGAAAGTCATCACACATTCGTTTCTACACAAGATCTTGATTCCTGCTGAAAATTGCCAGAATCGGTCCATAATTTCATATACCTCCCATACAAAAGTACATATTTCCGGAAAATGAGTTTTTTGTTAATAACTTCCGTCAGAATGTCGATATCTTCACAAAATTTTACAAATTAAAATCTTATGTCAATGGAATTCATTGAGAGAAAAAATTTTCTGGATCGGTCCATAATTGGACATAGCTCCCAAACGAGGTCCCCTCCCGAAAATCACTTAAACGCGCATAACTCATTACTAAATTAAGATATCCATATAAAATTTGGAATAAGTATTGTATTATAAGTATAAGGACCCTTCACGAAAATCATTTAAACGCGCATAACTCATTACTAAATTAAGTCATCTATATAAAATTTGAAATAAGTATTGCTCATATGCACAGAAATATTACTGTGAAAGCTTTTTTTTTTTAATTGGTCATAGCTCCCATACAAGGTCCCCTCCCGAAAATCACTTAAACGCACATAACTCATTACTAAATTAAGAGATCCATATAAAATTTGGTACAAGTATTGCTCTCACATACAGAAATATTACTATGAACTTTTTTTTCCGATCGGCCCATAATTGGTCATAGCTCCCATACAAGAACCCTTCCCGAAAATCACTTAAACGCGCATAACTCATTACTAAATTAAGATATCCATATAAAATTCGGAATAAGTATTGCTCATATGCACAGAAATATTATTATGAAATTTTTTCGGATCGGTCCATAATTGGTCATAGCTCCCATACAAGGACCCTTCCCGAAAATCACTTAAACGCGCATAACTCATTACTAAATTAAGATATCCATATAAAATTTGGTACAAATATTGCTCATATGCATGGAAATATTATCATACAAGGTCCCCTCCCGAAAATTACTTAAACGCACATAACTCATTACTAAATTATAATATCCATATAAAATTTGGAATAAGTATTGCTCACATACACAGAAATATTACTGTGAAATTGTTTTCCTATCGGTCCATAATTGATCATAGCTCCCATGCAAGGTCTCTTTCAGAAAAACACTTAAAGGCACATAACTCATTACCAAATAGTGATACCCATAAAAAACTTGGCATACATACTATTTTTGTACACAGAAATGTTATTTCAAAATTTTTTCACGATCGGTTCATCTTTGGTCATAGCTCCCTTACAAGGTTCCCTCCCTCCTCCTAAAATCACTTCAACGCACATAACTCATTACAAAATATTGATATCCATACATTTAGCACAAATATTGTTCTTATATACATAAATTGCACTATAAAATAGTTTTACGATCGTTCCATATTTGATCATTGCTCTCATACTAGGTCCCCTACAGAAAATCACTTTAATGCACAATATTCATTACCAAATAATGATATAGATACAGAATTTTGAAATTTTGTCTTTATATACATAATTGTTCATAGCTCCTTTTACGAAAATCTCTTAAACGCACATTACTCATTACCAAATATACAAAATTTGGCACAAATATTAGTTTAGTATACAAACTAATGCAAGGTTCCTTCAGAACACTGTTGCCAATTTAGCTATTTTCTCGTCAAATCTAGCGATTTTTAATCCCATTTTGCGGGGAAAAATATGATTTAGCTATTAGCGGGAAATCTAGCGATTTTTCTTTAGATTTTAAGGAGTTTTTATTCATTTATATATTGATAATATCGCTTAAAAGTTGCTACGAATGACGATATTTACATATATGTATGTATGTATGTATGTATGTATATAAAAATATGCATTCAATGTAAATTATTTGAGTTTTAGCTGTGTGTATTATACTTATTTTGAATGCTCTGAAGAACATAATTAGGAGCAAATATTTGTGCGTACAGGTAAAGTTATACGAAAAACTTTAAAAGGGGTATATTTTGTTGTACTCAATTAAAAAACGAATATTTAATTATTCTAGTCTTTTAGTAAATGAGTGATATGATAATAAAATTTACCATAATTCTAAAAATTAGCGAACATTGGAAAAAAGTGACGAAAGGATCGATCCATAAAGTCCTAAAAATTTACAACATTTCTAAGGCGTATAGGGCCGCATATCGATATTGCAGATAAACTTCCCACAAAAGGAGTGTATAATAATAATCTTGGGTGCCCCGGTAGGCTAGTTGGTAGTGTGCTAGCCTGTCAGTCTGGGGGTTGTGGGCACAAAGTATACAGAGGTGTCACTTTTGACATTTAAAAAAGTCTAAAATCAGCTTTTGTTTGATTTTGAAATTGTTTGGTGAGAAGAGGTATATAAAATACAGCTAAAAAAAATTATTGAATTCGTTTTGTGCGAAAGAGAGGGAAATAGTTTTTTGCTCGTGACGCCTCTGTATACCCTGTGTTGTGGGTTCGATTCCCAGCAGAGATCCTGGTCTGCTACACTACAACGGTCGTATGGTTATCGTCACCCTGCTCGGTAAATTAGGTTAGAATATAATTTGTAATTGTATTGTAATGGAAAAATAAAAATTACTCTTATGCCGAAAATAAAGGATCGATCCATAAAGGCCAGCATTTCGAAATTCAATTTATCTTTACAACATTTCTAAAGCAATCTGTATAGGGTCGCATATCGAAATTAACCTCAACTTGACATTTTTCCTAACCCAAAGTGAAAATATTTAACATAAAAAAAGATTATCTTATGTGTTTGTTATAAGATGTGTTTGTATCACTATCCCATTCCTACGTATGTATATAGATTTTAGCGATAAATCGCTGACTTTTTAGAATAATATAAAAAATCTGAAAAATTTAGCTAGTTTTTTTAGCTATTTCTTTTCAGAATCATATAATAAATATTATTTTGACGATTTATCGCTAAATTTTTCAAAATGTCTTGAATTTAGCTATTTTCTAGCTATTTTTCAGTCGACTTTAGCGATATTTTTGGGAAAAAAGTTGGCAACAGTGCTTCAGAAAATCACTTGAACACACATTACTTACTACTAAATTACGATATAGATACAAAATTTGACTGAAATATAGCTTTTATGTACAGAAATTTAGCTTAAAGAATTTTTTACGATCGGTCTATAATTGGTCATATCTCCCATACTAGGTCCTGCCCCTAAATGCAATTTAACCGTATTTAACTAGTTGTATTATTAATTTGTGTAGAACAAAATTATATATATGTATTTTGAAAATCCTTAAATCTTTCACACACATGTATACATTAGGGCGCTATAAAATTATAAAAGAAAATGGGGTTTGTAATGTTCAAGAAATCTTGGAATTGTAACAGATTTAAGCTGTTTAATTGGGGTTCTTCTATTTAAGACATGAGAAAACTTATTTCTACAAATATTTGATCAATTAAAAAAGTATTAATATAAAAGTAGCTGGTGGAGGGTATTTAAGATTCGACTCAGCCGAATATAGCACTCTAACTTGTTTCATTTTTAAATTGGGGAATTATTTCATAATGAAATAAGTCCCCAAATTTGAGGACTTATTTCATTTTTGTTTTGGGGAGTTATTTCATGACGCCGCTTATACGCTGTTACACGTTTTAGCTCCAACTCGCTCTATGTCTCATAGTACATGTCGACTAATTTTTTTCAAATTTTATTCATAATTGGACATTGCACTATGGGCCAGAGAGTGATGCTGTGATAAGGGATGTAACATAAATTATGTATTTTTAGCTAATATTAAAAATATATAAACTAATACTAATACTAAAAATATAAGTGAAATTATCTGTGTTGGAGTTAAAAATATTAAAATTTGAAAATATCATGCATAAATTTCTATTTGATTTTATACACAACCAAACTGTGTGAATTTCTCTGGAAACGATGCACACCTTCTGTTTTACACATTTAAAAGTTTTCAGAGCCTGAACGTTCGGTTGGTCGGACACTAAATTTTAATTTAAGAAAATATGTCGCGCTGATTGATTCTAACTTTTTAGTTAAAATGGTTATTTACTTCTTCTGTAAAATTTTCAAAATATTAGATAGGGCCGTTTATAACATTTAATGGTTATTTGCAACTTGAAATGGTTGTAATTAACATATGTTTGCATAATTATCATTCTTTAGTTGTTGAGAAAATAATTATGATACAGTGAATAATACCGTTGTTTCTACTCAAATTTATGCCATTAACATATATACATATGTATATAAGTTTATATTAAAAAAATAAAATTTATTATAATTATTAAATTTTAATAAAGCTTACCTACAAAAAGCTTGTATATAAGAATGTTATTTCTTTTCGAATTTTATAAAAAATTTCATAGATAATATACCTATCAACACAAAATACCGTCCAGTCGAATAGTTCGTAAATACAAACCATTTGAAATCCGTCGGTTGAAAAAAAAAGAACAAAACGGTTTCCGGTTTCAGATTTTTAGCTAGATAACATTGGGAATATGTGGACAAAAAAACGTTTTTTAGTATGTCTTAATAATATGTGTAACATATTTGTATCTCTTTTTATTTCCATAATAGATATATAAAACAACAACCAATAAAATTGTCATTATTGGATACGATGCAGTGTCTGCAGCTAAAGGATTCCATCACTATCTGAAGTACTATCTTCATAAAACAATTTATTGGTACAATAAGCATATAAATATCGAAGATGACATCGAATTGCCTTATGTTAATATAACATCAAAATCATTTAGTTCTGTTATTTATTATCAAAATGTCTGTACGTGGGGTTATAGCTTCGTATGGTGGAATTGGTCGAAGTGGGTTGAGCACATTGATTGGATGGCAATGATGGGTATAAGTTTTACAATAGCACCAATACAAGAGCAATTATGGTATGAAACCTATTTAGAAATGGGTTTAACCGAGGATGAAATTGATACGCATATATCAGGACCCGCATTTCTACCATGGTAAGATATTAATAATTATAATTTTAACTAATAACAAGTTAGAGTGCTACATTCGGCTATGCCGAATATTAATTACTCTTTACCTTAAACTAATTATAAAAAAAATAATAGTAATTGTAAAAACTTTTTTCGCTTTGGAAAATTTTGCGACAAAATATAATATTCATCTTTTAATACTAAGATTAAATGATGTTAAAATGTTATTGGGAAAAAGCTGGTTCTTATGCGCATTCTTCCGGTAGCTTCCTCTTCTTCTTAAATGAATTTTAACAAATTATCTGGAATATAACATTCAGCTATGAATTACACTAGTTTAAAACGATTTTTCTTATGATATAAAACCTAAGTATGTATATGGGTTATTATTTAGAAAAATTATTGGAAAAAGTCTAAGACTTCATTTTTTAAATTTTCCATTCAACCTTACTATGACTATGTTGAAAATCTATTACAGAATATGGTATTATGTATGCCGTATTTTAATGGAAAATTCTACAGAAGTGTTGATGTGTATTTTACTGGTGACAAAAACTTTCAAAGCTGAATTTGGTAGTCACTTATTTGAAATTATTCGAAAAAATGTTTATGATTCTAAAATAATCTCTGAATCTAAAAAAGAAAATCTGAAAATTCAAACTAATGTTTGAAAATGTTTTAATACCCCATTTACACATACACGAAGTAGATTAGTAGATTTCGTTTGAAATCTTTTTGCAAATCTAGACCGTTTACACTTACTCTTCTTGACATTTAGGAAGATTTCACTTTTTCTAATATTTCCCGGAAATGTATGTGATGTGAAAAATAAGAAGGAAAAATGGGATATTTATTAAAATTTTATTTATAATAAAAATATATATTTAAATATAGCATTACCTTTTATTTTAAATTAACTTTTTATTCATGTTTTTCAATTTATAAAAATTCTACCGACATTTTAATATTTTTTGTTTGCTTTTGGTGTTTCTCTTTTTTCTTGTGTAGCGTCATATTTTTAGTATTAGAAAATTGGTGATGTTTCTTTCAAATGACATAAAAAATAATTTTCACTACTTATACAACATTGGCAAAAAAAATAATATTTAGCCCCATTAACTCCAACTCCGGTTATCGTTTAACCCGTATATATTCTACCGGTTAAAATATTTTTTGTATGAAAACTGTCAATTTAACCTAACGAGATACATTGAGATAATGGGGGTTAAAGTTATATATATTTATATAAGCAATTGGTTTTTATGTCACAAAAATATTAAAAATTTCGTTGAAATAGTCTTAAATATTTTTTTCATTTTATTTATACTTTATTGAAGCTTTTTTATGTAGAAATTTAAAGTAGTTTTAAAATCTTAACCTAACCAAAGGTTGTAACTGCCCCTGCAATTTCAACACAAAAGCCAATAATTTGATTATCTGGAAAAACCCAGTGTTTCCATTCTTCTCAATCGTTCATGATTCCCTGGAAACTGGAGAGTTTGATCTCTTCACGTATTATAGGGATTTAAGATCCCTACGAATATTATTATTCCTTGCCATTTTTCAACATTAGACGAGGCGGCTGTTTCCACATGTTTTGTACAAAAGAAGATTGTACAACCAGTACAATTGAGCAGCCTTTAATTTTATTTGTGTAACATTGGCTTCAATATTTTGGGTCCATGTTAAACGGCGATCAAGATAGATACCAATATATTTATCAATTTTCTCGCCTTAAAGTAAATGTGACGTGAGTATATTTTGTTACATTGGCTTTTATTTTCCATTTGCCAAGCCATTTTTCCAATTCGCCGATGTGAGACTGGAGTTTTTCAGAAACATTGAAGGGTTTTCATGTATGCGGTATCATCCGCAAAAAAAATGTATAAAAATAAATACGTGATTTTTTAATAAAAACATTAAAATTTGCATTAAAAAAATACTATTTATTATTTTTAATCAAACTAAATTGTTTTTATGTTAAAAATTAAATTTTACTTTTATTACGAATAAGTAGGTAATTAAAAAGGATTATACATTTTTGTAAATATTTTGAATATATCTCCCAAAATTAGGAGACACCTGTTTCGTACTTTTTTAAAATTCGATCCTTTTTGGGTGCAAAAGGGAGAAAACTGTATTTTTGGTTCTTTTTTTAGCACATTAAGACAACTTTTTCGATTTATTGAAGTATTCCTATTAAATTACGGACTAACTCTGTTATATTTGTTGAAACAAAATTTTTGTTATTTCACTGGAAAAAAAAAGTACAAAAAAAGGGAAAAATGGGAAATTTCATTTTATTCAAACTCATTGAGCCAATTTTATAAAATTTGAAAAAGTAGTTTATTTACTCGCACAAAATAAGCTATTGATATGTTATTTTGGAGTTCGAGTACTAAGGCCTATATAGAACCAAGTTCAAGTAAATTGTTTGGTACTTTTTGAAAGCACATACACGGTCCTCATTGAATAAGACTTTTTATCCCATAAATGGTACTTTTTGAATTTTCTAAAATATTCAACCTAGGAACATAAATATTAGCATACATGGCCTTGACTGAGTAATATTCTTTGGTACATTCTTCAAATGGTACCTTTTGGATTCTCTATAATGGTAACATGACACACGGTCCTTATTAAATGAGAATTTATTGAGAGAGATTTTGTACTTTTTCGTTTTTCCGATGGTACTTTTTGATATTTTTACGATATTGAACATAGAAATATAATATATAAAATGTAGGGACCTTAGTGAATGAGAATCTACTGAAAGGGACTTTTTCATTCATCAAATTAAATTTTTTGAATTCTATATAATATTGAATACAGAAACATAAAATTTTTGATGAAATGAGAATCTATAAGATGTATTTTATAGTACTTTTTTTTAAATAGAACTTTCCAAATTTTCTATAATGTGGAAGCTAAACGAGTGAAACTAAAAATACAAGCTTCTTACTGAATGTGAATTTATTCACATGATATTGAACGTAAAAAACTGAAACATTAAAAATATTTTTAATCAATTTTAATTTTCTATAAAAGTAAACAAAATTTTGTATGTATTTAATTTCGGTTAGGGTAGCGAAGAACCCAGGGTATGCTAGTACCATATACATACTTTGGAAACTACATACCAAAGTAGTCCGACTCTTTGACAGCAGTACCTAACTCTAAGCATGTGTTAACTCTAAATTTGTATTAATAACAAAAATGAACAGGTATTTCAGCATTTAAAATTTTCACCAGACATACAGAGTTTTATAAAAATTCATATAATTTAATTCGTTGGAATTTTCAATACAAAAAATGTAAATCTGCTTCTAAATTAAAATTTTACCACACAACAATAAATGTCAATAATAAATAAAAAAAAAAAAAAATAAATGCGGTAGATATTTTGCGACGTTGTGACTTAGAACAAGATGCAAATTCAAATTTTTTTTATTTTATTCAAGCTAAAACATTATTGATTTTTTAAATAATATTAGCAATATTTTTTAATGTAATGAATTTATGAAAATAATATTTATTTCTTTAATAAAGATCGTGTGATAGCAAAGTTCTATGGTCGATTGTAATTTTCCTATGGTGTTAGCATTTGCTGTGCCAAGCGATATCTTTTCTTGCTGTGATAAATTTTGCAAATTTTCGCTGATTAATCCCGAAAATTTAACACTTCCAGTAAAAATAAACATTTTTTACGTCCTTTATGAATTTTACTCCTCTTTTACATTGAGGACTTTTTCAATGGACTTTCTCAATTTTCTTTTAAATGCCCTTCGTAAAATCTTAAATGTTTACATTGAGACTTTTAAGGCATGCCTGCTTTTTGAAATTATGAGTGTAAGAGTTGCCATTTTTATAATTCTTAATTTATTGTTTTAAATATTTTATAAATGAATAAATCTATTTTTTTAATATTTGTTATATTAAATATTGTTTCAATTATTTAAGTAAATATTTATATAAAAAATTTATGAAAAAATACTAAAATACTTTTAAATACATATTTTTGCTACTACTATAAGCTGTATGTTTAAGTTCATCTTATAGTTATATATTTTTTATTAAAGATATAATAACATTTTAATACTCATAACATTCGAAAAAATAAATTATTTTTAAATTAATTGAAATATGTAAAAAATTAAATTATTGCAAACACTAATTCATGCGTGAGAATATTCGCACACGATCTTTACTCTGTGAGAGCAGAAGTCTCAATCTAAACCGGCACTTATAAATAAATCTCTCTTGAATATAAAATGGATTTAAAAATCAAATTGTAAATTTAAAAATTGTTGTTTTTCATTTATTTATGTTTTGTTTTGTAAATTTTTTATTTTCATTTGTCAGAAATTTATGTAGCCCAAAGAGCTAGTAAAATTTTATTCGCCTCATATCTATGAAAAATTTACTTTTACCAGTAAATTGCTATTGTTTGGCACACACTCAAACATTAATTTTAAAATTTTTTATATTCACAAAAAATTAATATATAAGACTTTTTTTATAAGCAAATTGTGGCATATACAAAAAATTTTGTTTATAATCACTTTAAGGGTGATGGCAACTATCAAACAAATTTACACACACACGATTTTTTTGGATTGTGTTAGTGAAAAAAAACTCACACGCACTGGTTTGATGAAAATCAAAACACTTTTGATTTTCAACAGAAATTGAAGCAGAAGAAGCATACATTGAAGAAGAAGAATCATAAATTCATTTTTATTTAGTTTTTGGTGAGACAACATCACATTTTTTTGCCGCAAGTAAATGAAATATGGATGAAAAAAATTCATACTCGATTTTGAATTTTCGGGGCAACCAAACTTAAAATTTTATCGTATGTATCTCCATCCATGCGTAAATAATTTCGAAAATCATTTGGAGAACTCAATTTGAGCTCATTGAGCAAATTTTTGTGCGAAAATACATTCCTTTTCTTGTACCACTCTTTCATGCACAGACGCTTTACGTCCTTTTGCTTCTTTTTTTATATATTTTATAGCTAT